CACACACACACACACACACACACACACACACACACACACACATACACACACACACACACACACACACACAGAGAGAGAGAGAGAGAGAGAGGAAAGACATGTCATTGAACACCGGCAGGCTTTCTATCTAAAAAAAACTAACAAGCAGAGCAGGTATCAATGACGTTAGGCACGAAGGCAGGGTTCGTTATGGTGACTCCAGTTGAAGGGCGACTCGGGCAAAAATTCACCCTCGCATCTTCATTGCTCGTGCTGATCCATACATGGCTGGTGACAGTGGCGCCGCCTGCAGTCTTCGCCGTATTGGACACGAAAGAGTTTCTACAGAACCTCACCGGACTTACGGAATCCACATTGCCGACATTCACCGCGCCGCCTTCGCCTCCTCTGTTGGTCACCTTGTTTCGAACAAAACTGCACTTGAAGAAGGCCGCCTCCGTGCCGTCGACATCTCCCATGATCACCGCGCCACCGCCCAGTTGCGCTTCATTGCGCTCGAATCTGCAGTTGGTGCAGTTGATGATCCCTTCCGAGGAGGTAATGGCTCCACCCCAGCGCGCCTTGTTCGAAATGAACTGTACGTTCCTCCCGTCTAGCCTCGTGAATGAGGAGAGAGCGATCGCTCCCGCGGCATTGCCAAGGAATACGGTGTTGGAGGCCGTGATCGTCCCTTCGAAGACCTGGACAGCCCTCCTGTTCCTAGCGTACGAGATTCTGACATTACTGAGGACAACTGTAGGCGAGGAGTTGGAGTCGCCGAAGATGGCAGCAGCATCGTCTTGGCCAGCAGCGGTGCTGCTGCTCATCCTCGTCAGCTCAATTCCAGAGATGGAGATCTTCGGCGGCTGGAAGAAACCCCTGAACCGGCCGCGGCCGTCGATCTTGCAAAGACGCCGACCGCATCGGCCGCGAATCGTCAGGTCGGGACAGACGACCTGGGGCAGACTCGACGTCAACAAAATATCGGAATCGACGAGGAGGACACGAGCCGTCGAACTCAAAACGGCGGCTCTGAGCTGCGCTTCGGTGGTTGCACTGGAGGGGACGGCGGCCATAGCCAGGAGGAGGACGAGGAGGAAGACGAAGAAGAAGAAGAAGGAAGAGAAAAACGCGCGCACTCCCGCGCCGCCATCATGGCGCGAACGGCAGCGACCGCCACCGCGGGACGCCATTACCAGTCGCCGCGAGAGACCGCGTTAAATCTCCGAACGAGAAGACGAATGTTTCCCGCGCCACGGAACGAAGAAGGCTAGCTAAGAGCAGCGAGCACACGAATCAAACCAGCGGCGAGAGACGGGAGAAGAGAACCCCAACGCGATCGACAGCACGACAACGCGACAACGCGCAATAAATACGAAAATCCGACCTCCTCCACCAGCCACAGCTCTCTGGCTCGCATACGAAAACAGATTGGCGGGCGATCGTTGGCGATTGCACGAAAACAGTGGCGCGCGATCTTTCGCGCTTACACGAAAACGGTGGCGCGCGATCTTTCGCGCTTGCATGCATTCGTGCATGCGCTCGGAGAATAAAGGCGGGGGTTACATCCCACTTGCTCAGCGAAAGTGGAACCTCGAGGCCAGGCGAGCAGGCCGAGCGGGGGCGAAGCACTACCGGCTTCCCCCGAACACAACGCACCATCATTTTGACTGCATCGGGACGGAAAGATAATCTGTATACATTCATTATCAGGGTGCGTTATGTTTGGGGGAAGATGGAAGTCTCCTACATGTTTGATGAAGAGGCTGGCCGCGCCACTCGCCAATTGTGAAAGGGGGCGGCAAGACTATTGGGCCTCGCCGCATTATACTCTCGAAATGTGCAAAGGAGAGCGAATCTTCCGCTAGAATATGGAAAGATGCGCCGCCATGATTTTGTCTTTTGTGCATGTCGCGAGTAGTGGAGCGAGGCCCTATGGCGGCGCTGGCGGGAGTATACTTCCCGCGGTGAGGTCCCACTAGCAAAGAGGGTTGGATAAACATCCTGATTTTTTTTCAATTTTTTTTTTTAAGTCGAGATTCAGGTGTTCAATCCAATCCTCTTTGCTAGTGGGACCTCGCCCCCGAGCGATACGTTCTCACTTACAGATTTGGTGAGTGGCCACAGATCAGGCGCATTAGGTACCAATTTTCTTTTTTCCTTTTTTCCTTTTTTCCTTTTTCCCTTTTTTTAATGTTCTTCTCTCGAATTATTTTTGCCTTTCTCGGTCTTCCCCCCCCCCCCCCAATCCCCCAAAAGGGCAGCCAGATGCTGTATGATCCAGGCACTCCGGCTGCTTTTTTTTTTTTTTTTTTACAGCGGATCAATGTCTTTATAAAAGCCGGGAACCGGGCCCGGTGTCCATTACAAAATTAGGTGGGGCCCTCAGTGGGCAAGGCATCATCGGCCAAACACATAGAGGACACCACTAGATTTAACCCCACAGCCAACTCCACAGCCCCAACAACTCGAAAAGTCAACGAAAATTATCATCACAATCTAAATTATCCCTAAGAAATGAAAATACTAAGAAAATCTACAGTTCATCACTAAAAACGTAATCACAATAGTCTTGTCAACCCTAAGTTAGTGACCTAACTTCTTTTTCTTTTTTTCTTTTTTTTTGGAAAAGATCAGAGTTCTCCAATTATATATAAATGATGAGGCCGGGAATCCTCACAAACAACCCGGTGAGGTGCTGGGGCCAATACCCAGCTTAGGCTCAACCACAACTGGAAAACGGGTCCAGTGTCCCCTCATCACTAACCTCTAATTATCATCTTTTCCAAACTCAACATGAAGCACAGCAAAAAGAAGTCTTCAAGTCTCATTTCAGGTCTACTAAGAGAACCTCTCCTCAAATGTTACTTGACCTGCAGTGTTTGCTAATACTTGAAAACCTCTTCCCTTCTGAAGGAAGCCTATGGAACAGCAAACTCCTGTGGGGCCTGAAGACTGCAAGTGACGCACCTCCGTCCCAATAGAATGAGACGGCCACCTGACCTTTATTCCTTACAAAAGTAACCATTCTGACCTATCGCTGTCAGTTAAAACCCTAATCCCGGGTGTCAGACAACCATGAGCACAAGGAGAGTATCCCATCCTGGTTCACTGAAGCTTAACGAGAATCCAATGCCCAAGTCTTTCGGAACCAGCCCCTGTTCTTCTTTAGCCAGTCAGCTCGTATGATCCTCCTCAAACATTGCTTGACCTGCAGTATTTGCTGATACTTGGAAACCTCTTCTCTTCTGAAGACACAGGCATTCCTAGCAGACCAGACTGTCTGCATTAGGACCCCTCTGCAGCACAGAGCCACATACCCCCAACCACTCGAGTACTGATGACGCGGGGGGAGTATTCCTGAAAGCATCCATTCATCTGTCCAGATAAAATTGCCTCCCGAGATTCGAGCCCAATGACCTTTCCACCACCGGAGAATCATAACCACCAGTGGGCAGTACAGCCAAATGTGGGTCATATTTTCCCATCCCCATTTACACCTCACACACTGGGTGGTAATATCCATGCCTCTCTTTGAAAGCCATACTGAAGTTGCAGTGACGAGCATCGACTGCAGCCACATGATACTGGCATGCTTCTGAACCGGGGTCTTGGCCAAGGCCTTCCACAATGAGCAAAGCCCAGGTCCCGACGCCGCAGTGACCTAACTTCCACAAACCTGAACGAATCAAAACCACAAATGAGATAGATCAGCCCTGCGTGATGATGTCCACCATTCATCCGGAGTTATTACCAACCCCTGCCAATCCGCCCTGCTTTTGAATTATACAAGCCGGAAAACGGGTCCGGCATCCCTTACATCATAGAGAAGGCCACGGGGTAAACAGTCTCCTCTGACCATACGAAAATGACGAAATCCTAATTATGCACTATGCAATCCTAATTGTGCACTACGCAAATTACCCTAAAAAAAGAAAAACAAAACAGAACCTACAAAAACAAAGCCTATCACCCTTGAAAATAGCCCAACCCTGCAGATCCACTCTGCCACCCGCGCCGCAGGGATCAGTAAGCACAGACCCCGCAAACCCACCTTCCTCCTCGCGATTCAAAGCAGATCACTCCACCCCCTACGTTACCTACCCTAAAACACCAACTCCCTCCATGATGGTGTTTCAGCAAACCCTGCGAAAAGCCCTACCTCCCGCGCGGCAGGGGCCAAAGGCCCCGCAAAGCCCACCCACCTCCTTGCGATTTAGGGTCATCCGCACCCCCGTCCGCATGCACTCCCCAATGAGATCTTCACATCCCTCCATGATGAAAATCGTATGGAGCAACGCTCATGTGACGCGCAACCTCACGCCCTGCGCTGTCTTCCGTTCGGAGTATTAAGGGTGCGGAAAAAAAAGGCCCTGGAAAACAGCAAGATGGGGTGTGCTAAGGATTTTGGGGAAATCGAGTGTGGAGACACAGACAGAACTGAAATCCCCCGTGTTGGTCTGATGAAGTAAGAGAACCGGTCGGTTTGCAGCGCGGGTTACAAAGAAGCGCGCACGGGATTCGCGACGTGGGGAAGTTCGAATTCAATCCAGAAAATACTGTCGAACCTCGCATCGAGCCACGACCCTTCGTTTGGAGTGAAAGGGAGCGGGCACGTGCTTAGGACTAACTCCCAACGCCTCACGTTGCACAATTCCGAGTCTGACGTAGACGGCCTTAATCGCGTGGCCCTTTCCTTATGCTCGTCCTCATTCCGTACTCGGTAGTGGAAGCCCTTTGATTGGTAGTGATCGAAGCGTTGGCAATCACTACACAGAGTTTCAGGCCAATGGGGCGCCACTGCCGACCACGAGATGACGATCAACTCGTTAAATGGTAGTAGCAACGAATATGGCGGAAAATGTGTATCGATAATGATAAACCCAGCACCGACAAACCCAGAGCACTGATTTTCAAGAGGGAAGTAATATTGCCCACCGATCTTTGCGACGGCTTCTCGTATGTCACACTCACACACACGCGTCCTTTCCTCGTTATACGGGAAGGGGCGAGGTGGGGATACGGGAGGCCGGCGCCTAGTCGGGTTGAGCCCGTCAGTCCACATGGCAATCAATCAGGCGCCAAAGATATCTTCAATCATTCATCGTAGACCCAAAATCAATACTAGTCGAAAAACACACAACCTATCGATCCGATCAGAAAGGCAGAATAAAAAACTCCTAAAAGCGAAGGGGAAAAATAAAGTTTAGAGAGAGAGAGACAAAAACTCATGTGTGGTGAGATGCGACCACTCTTCACGTGTTCCGATCGCACGTGGCTTTGGAGTCCCTCATTATTCTACGAGGGTATGTTGTATATGTTGTGCGGCATAAGGCAGATGGTATGGGCAGTGTGACCCGAACGGCAGCTCCCGGGGTACTCATCCATAATCACAGCATCAACAGATCTAAACACTCTTGCATTCTCGAACAAAATCCCAACAATATTGCCCCTGCCATCGACCCGTCTGGACAATATCCTAATCAAGACGAGTTTCGTGCTCAATCATTTTCATCCCACGCATGCATTCACTGTGGAAGGTGCGAAAACAGCAGACGTGCAATACCCCTGCCCTGTTGTGTTAAAGGCAAGTAATCACAATCCCTTTAGATCGTTGATAGTTGCTACACGCGCATCCACTGTTCACAAGACAAGACGATCAATTCTCAGGAGGTCCGGAGATTACCCAGGAAACTAATGGAAGAGTTCCGGAAGAAGTTTTTCCGAGCACACATTCACAAAGGTTCATTCCATCACAAACAAAAGATTGACTCATCATGCATAGTTATTCATATCAGCGAGAGAAGAGAAGGAGGGAGGAAGAGACAAGCGAGAATATCAAGCTAGGAGGGAAGAGTTACACTGAGATTGGGAAAAAGAAGGTCCGGCTTCACAGTCGTGAGCTCACACCAAAGAATGAATTCGTAATAAGGGGGGGGGACGAACTCGCCACCAAATTCCAACATGGCTCCGGGTCAGTCACCCTTTCAACTCGGATCACTCATCCTCATTAATGCACCGATGATCCCGGCCGTCACGGACCACCATCCACCACTTCGATCGTCACCCCGCCAACTTAGCCTCGACGTGGCTTGCCCGGATCCCACAGTCCGTCATGGCGATCTAGCGCACAGCCAGCCAGGCTGAGCTTGTAGTCAGCCTGTCAGGACTTTCCGGCACTCACTATACACACATCATCTAGCCACTGCTTCCCGGAAGTTGGCTGAAGGGACAACCTACTTGGGATAAAAAAACCTTGTAGGCCCTTTTCTCGACTTTTTCTGAATCTGGTGTCCCTTGGGTAGGCTGGAGCATTTTTGCATGTGGCGGAACATTTTCAGCCGTGGATCAGGTTGAGATCCAAGGCCAACATTATTCCGAGTTACCCCATGGTGGTCCTTGGTTCAAATTTGAGCCCCTAAGTTCAATTTTTCAATTTTTGGTGCATCTGGCTCTCTTTTTGGACCAAATGCA